GGGAGGGGCTGAAGTCGTAACTGAATGGTAGACCTAAGTGGGAACGGGGCTGAGGTCGTACCTGAAAGGTAGACCTAAGAGGTGAGGGGACTAAGGTCGTACCTGCAAAGTAGACCTAAGAGGGGTGGGGGCTGAGGTCGTATCTGAAAGGTAGACCTAAGGGGGAGGGGGTTGAGGTCGTACCTGCAAAGTAGACCTAAGAGGGGTGGGGGCTGAGGTCGTAACTTAAAGGTAGGCCTAAGTAGCAAAAACCACTTTACACATTAAGCGTGTCAAGAGTCTAGCCAACAAAAATGTCACACCAGTGAACATGATAGATATCGATTGGATTCACCTGACTAAATGCAGTGCTAATGGCAACAGTGGGGGGGGGGTGAAGGGGGGATTGCGCCAGTCGGGACGGGATTGAGGGTGCGTGATGGTGGCGTGTATTACCATGTTGCACTTGGACACCGGGCAAATCAACAGTGGGCCGCCAGAGGGCCGCCAGAGGGCCTCAAGAGCTGTTTTTATATTACAATGAAACATTGGGTATTTAATATCTTCTTAAGACATTGTTTCTCCCGTATCACATGGACACCCGTGCAACTTGGAAACCCGTACTACTTGGACACCTGTGCAACTTGGACACGCGTGCAACTTGGACACCGGTGCCACTTGGACACCTATACCACTTGGACATCCGTACTACTTGGACATCTGTACCACTTGGACACCCGTGCCACTTGGACACCCGTGCTAATTGGACACCCATACCACTTGGACACCCATGCTAATTGGACACCCATACCACTTGGACACCCATACCACTAGGACACCTGCACTATTTCGACACCCGTGCCACTTAGACAACCGTGCCACTTGAAAACCCGTGCCACTTGGACACCCATATCACTTGGAAACCCGTACAACTTGGACACTCGTGCCACTTTGACACCCATACCAATTGGACACCCATACTACTTGGACACCCGTACCAATTGGGCACCCGCACTACTTGAACACCCGTACCACTTGACACCCGTACCAATTGGGCACCCACACTACTTGAACACCCGTACCACTTGGACACCCGTACCACTTGGACACTTGTACCACTTAGACACTTGTACCACTTGGACACGTGTACCACTTGGACAGCCATGCCACTTAGACACCCGTACCATTTAGACACCCATACCACTTGAACACTCATGTCACTTGGACACCCGTGCCATTGAGATAACCGTGCCACTTGGACAGCGTTGCCACTCGGACACCCGTGCCGCTTGTCTGTACATAAATATTGCTTATACTTACACTTACACTTGTTTAATTACACTAGTTTTATGGTAATTTGTGTAATTTGTCTTTTTTTTTCTTTTTGCATATACTAAATTCTGTGTGCAAAGGCTAATTTTTGTGTACATCAAAAGTTGTGTGTGTGCAAAGGCTAATTTTTGTGTACATCAACAGTTGTGTGTGTGCAAAGGCTAATTTTTGTGTACATCAAAAGTTGAGTGTGTGCAAAGGCTAATTTTTGTGTACATCAAAAGTTGAGTGTGTGCAAAGGCTAATTTTTGTGTACATCAAAAGTTGAGTGTGTGCAAAGGCTAATTTTTGTGTACATCAAAAGTTGAGTGTGTGCAAAGGCTAATTTTTGTGTACATCAACAGTTGTGTCGGTGCAAAGGCTTTTTATTTCTTTGTGATTGACGATATTTTTCATCACAGACTTTGTGTGCAATAGACTAATTTTGTGTGCATAGTCTAATTTGTATGTGCATTGACAAATTTGTGTGTGCATGGACTTTTGTGTGTGTGTATAGACTTATTTTTTGTGTGCACAGACTAATTTGTGTGTGTGTAAAATTTATTGTTGTGTGTAGATTATTGTTTGTGTGTGCATAGCTATGTATGTGTGCTTAGACTAATTTGTGTATGTATAGACTTATTTTTGTGTGTATAGACTATTTTTGTGTGTGCATAGACTTATTATTGTGTGTGTATAGACTATTTTTGTGTGTATAGACTATTTTTATTTGTGCATAGACTTATTTTTGTGTGTGCATGGGCTTATTTTGTGTGAGCATAGACCTATTTTTGAGTATGTATAGACATATTTTTGTGGATGTAGACTTATTTTTTTGTGTGTATATATTGTCTGTGTAAAGAAAACCAGTGTAATGACACAGCGTAGAAACTCCTATTTGAAACTGAACATAGCAGATATGCCTATCAACTTACTCTACAGCTCGGAGACCGTCCACAAGAGACGACAAAGTGGGACAAGAGTCTGCCTCTACGTAGGTAGCCGTGTCAGGTACGTCTTCCTATAGTAACATTGGGGAGGGGGCGAGGGGTAAAAAAATGTAAGTCCTTAGCTGTCACTAAATCACTTGTGTCTTGGTGTACTGCTACAATTCTCCATTCCTACACCCTCACCCCCCCACCACACCCCGGCCATTCATAGCGCACTCTCGCCCCCACACCCAGTCACTTTCATAGCGTATACTCGCCCCCACACCCAGGACCATTTATAGCGTACACTCGCCCCCTACCCC